AGTGGGATGTGTTGGTCCAGTGCGAGCGGGATGGTGTCTATGAACGTCCAGTGCCTGACAACTTCAGCTTGTCTGTAGCTCTTGAGAAACTCTACACACACACACACACACACACACACTGGAGAGAAACTTAGCGCATATGTGAATGTCAGTTTCCTTTTAATCAAATATAAATCGAGCGAGACTGACGTCATCTCATCCCCTCAGCGCCTGTTGATCTCTATCTGTCTGTCTGTTCTCTTCTGCTTTCATTGCTCCTCTCTCTCTCTCTCTCTCCCTCTCTCTCTCTCTGTCTGTCTACAGGTGTTTTCCCAGATTGTTCAGTGACTCAGCGATCGCAGCTGAATACAGATGAGCAGCACAGTCATCCGTCCAATCAGAATGCAGCAAAATGAGACAGATGGACACGTGTGTATGTATTCATAGATGTGAACACAAACACTCTCATTTAATGCTCATATGCTGAAAATAAACCAGCCTGAGGTGGTTGCAGGTCTTAGCTGGTGCATTTATTTGATCGAAAATGCTGTAAACTTTTTTTAAATATTATTAAAATTTAAAACAGCCATTTTCTATGTGAATATCTGTTAAACATGTAATTTATTCCTGTGATGTGCAGCTGTATTTTCAGCATCATTACTCCAGTCTTCAGTGTCACATGATCTTCAGAAATCATTCTAATATGCTGATTTGCTGCTCAAGAAACATTTCTGATTATCATCAATGCTGAAAACAGTGATACATTAAATTTTTCAGGATTCACAGATGAATAGAAAGTTCAAAAGAACAGCATTTATTTGAAATAGAAAACATTTGTAACATTATCAATGTCTTTACTGACACTTTTGATCAATTGAATGCATCCTTGATGAAATAAAGTATTAATTTCTTTTAAAAAAAAATTATTTTTTTCAAAAGTCATACCGGCTACACATTTTTCAATGTTTTCAATTTTCAGTGTAAATAAAAATGCAATTAAATTGTAAAATAGCAGTTGTTTATAAGTCAATTAAATGCTCTTTTTATATCCAGTTGAAATAATACCCACAACAATAAATGATATCAATGCATTTTAAATACAGCAAAGCCAGGTTACATTATATTGAGCGGGAAAATGCTTTAAAAAGATTCTCTGGAGGAGTCTGTGAATTACACACAGGCCTGTATTTAGGTCGACCCGAGAAAAAACACCGCAAACTCACCGTCAAGTAGGTCACGGATTTTATCCATGTAGATTTCAAAATAGGAAACCTTGAGAGAGAAGCAAGAACAGCTAATGAGGAGGAATTATCTGAAAGCATTTCATTTCTTCACACAAAAACTATTGTCTATAACGTGCTGTTATTTTCACCTTAATGTGGAACTCAAGGTTTTCGTCCATGGTGTAAATGTGGTTAAAAATGTCTTCAGCGATCCTCGGGATGATTCCCCTTCCGTCAGGATCGTGCAGTTTTCCCTGAGAGAGAGAGAAAGCAGTCGGTACACGTTTTATTTAATGTGAACATTCTGCTAAACGTCTTCTTTTGTGTTCCAGGGAATAAAGCGAGTTTTACCGTTTTGGAGCAACATGAGGGTGAGTAAATGATGACTAAATCTTAATTTCTGAGCAAATTGTTCTTTAAGCAGTGTAGAGAGCTGTTTTACCTCCATAGTGTAGGTTTTACCAGATGACGTCTGTCCGTACGCAAAGATGGTGCCGTTATAACCGTCCAGAACATCTGTAGAGAGAGAAACACTAAATCAACATAGAAAAGTGCTAGAAGTTTCATTGCATCAGCGCTTAGAAACAATGTGGATTTACTTTTAAATTGTAACATGTTTATATATAAGTGTAGCCTGCGCAGGACGATGATACAAAGTATCATCAATGTGCTCTAGGAAATAAATAGATACATTTGCTGATTTAGTTGTTAGAGCACAAAAAGTTAAATATTAAAAGAAGCCTAAATGAATAAAATTTTGCAGAATGTATGAATGACTTCTGATATAATTATTATTATTTATATCTTTTTTAAAAGTGTCATTAATGAAAAATTCTAAAACAACTATTCTATTTCAAATTGTTTTTAAATATTTCATTTTTTTTTTTTATTTGTATTTATAATTTAGTTGAATAATTGAAGACTAAAGTAAATGAGATTCATCTGAAAGGTAAAATTATTCTAAAATTGTTTAATTGCGCATATTTTATTTGAAGACATGTCATAATAGCAGCACTTTGAATGCAAATGTAATGATTTTACTCAGTTTTAATGTCTGAAATGTACATATAAATCTTGGAAATATTAAATAATAATCCCATTAATTTGTATTAAATTTAGTATTAAAAATAAAAAAGTATTAAATTAAACTCCAGCAGTCTAATTTTATAATTTCACGTCAAAATAGAAACTTTTATAACTTTTAAAAACGCTTACTGCACAAATATACTGCACAAATCCCTCATTAACAAACAGACACAAAAACCTTGATGTTCAACACAATACAATTTTAACACAAAATTAAATCAGTTAACCTCAAAACTCTTTCGACTGACTAAATCTGACAAATGTTGATATTCAGATAAAATGCAATTATCTTTATTTATAAGAAATAATGTGTCCTATACAATATTTTGAAATTTTTTATATATTGTTTTATAGAATTAATACCTATCTACACACTCACCTTTGACAATCTGTTTGGCACAGGTGTTGTACACCTGCTCCTGTGTGCAATTCGTGGGAAAGACTTTGTCAAAAACATACGGCTTCCCCTGTAAGACACAAACACATACAGTTATATACAGACAATTATATGTCCAGATTTGCCAGTTTAACCTTTAGAGCCACTATAAATATTAATTGGTACAGGTGGCCCCACCCCCGACTCACATCATTGGCTGAGAGATTCCACTCAACCAGGTTGGGGGCGGGGCTATCAGTTTGAAAACAATCACTGCAGTTTAAATATACAACACACACTTACCATGAAATAATATGCAACATACAGAAGAACTGCCTGTTATAATTTAACATGAAAGCAATTAGAGGTGAAAAACATTAAGCTCTTCAGTCAGTGATTAGTCCCTCTCTGCTTTAATTGATCCTCAGACGAGCATCAAAGTCTCCAGAGCAGACACACACACACATTATATGCAGTCAGTGTTTGTGATTTGCTTTCAGCTCTCAGAGAGTTCACTGCGGCGCAGTCCCTCGACGCGTCACGCTGACTGCTTTATGTCTGTGTGTGCTTGCAGGAATCGTAATGAGCGTCATAAAACGAGAGCACACAGTGTTTATGGTTGAAATCTGCGGCGATGAGATAATCAACACGTCCTCATGCGTGTGCATCTGTTTTTATAATATGACGACTGCCCAGAGTAACACAAGAAATGAAATTAAGAGCCGCAGCTGAGCGTGAAGGATTGTGGGATACGCTCTAATAGCTTTAGCCCAGCAGAGCTCTGCCATTAGCATTTCTCTCTGTAACAGCTTCATCCAAACATCCATGCGTTTCTCACACCGCTGCTGCGGCTCACACAGCACACATGTGACCCTGGAGCACAAAACCAGTCATAAGGGTCCATTTTGAAATTGAGATTTATACAATAAATAAGCTTTCCATTGATGTATGGTTTGTTATGATAGGACAATATTTGGCTGAGATACAACTATTTGAAAATCTGGAATCTGAGGGTGCAAAAAAATCTAAATATTGAGAAAATCATCTTTAAAGTTGTTCAAATTAAGTTCTTAGCAATGCATATTACTAATCAAAAATTAAGTTTTGATATATTTACGGTAGGAAATTTACAAAATATCTTCATGGAACATGATCTTTACTTAATATCCTAATGATTTTTGGCATAAAAGAAAAAATGTGTTGAAATGTCCAGTTATCTTGTCGTGATTACCACAAAAACATTTCTTACAACATCCTACTAACTTCATTTTCTAACAAACAAAAAAAACACATTATTTGAACATTTATTTGTAATATTCTGAGAAGTTCAAATGTCTAGTTTTCTTGTCGTGATTATAACGTTATTTAAAGGTTACAAAAGTGTTTCTGACAACATTCTAAAAACATTATTTTCACTAAAAATGTAACGTTACTTGAACAATTATTTTGTACTTTTCTAAGAATGCTAAAATGTCCAGTTTTCTTGTTGTGATTAGAACGTTATTTAAATGTTACAAAAAAGTTTCCAGGAACGTTCAAGTACAAATAACATCAAAAGGACATTCAGACATTGTTGATCTCAGAACATTTTTTTCTCAACATGATGAGACTGTATATCAAATATTAATAAAATCATAAGAATGCATATAAACTTTAAGAATGTTTTTTTTCCTAACATTTATATAACTTTAGTTTAAAAAACATTAGTGAAAGTTGTGAGAACATTCCCTGTCCTAGGTATATAGATAGATGTTAATAGAACGTCCGTTCATCTCCCAGCTAACAAAAATATGTTCTAGGAATATTTTGTTAACGTTCTCATTAAGTTATGAAAACATATCTCTGAATGTCCAGCTTTAAAAACTTTTTTTGGTTATATGAGCGATAAGGGAAAATTCCATTTTATAATTTTGCAAACATTATGGGAATGTTACATTTGAATGTTCTCTGTTTTATAATTTAAAAAATGTTTTGTCCAACTAATACTAAAACATTCCATAAACAATGTTTAAATAAATAAATAAAATTTTAAGAACATTATTAAAGACCAGAAAACTCTGAACAATGTTCTGTTAATGTTGCTGGAAGGACGTTTGTTAGCTGGGCTGGTCTTTACTAATGTTCTCATAAAATTAAGACAAAAATATTATTTATATATTCATATCATTCATGGAACATTTTTTCCTGGAGGTTCATCTAATGCTTTTTAAATGTTGCAGTTCCTGGAACGTTGAGAGAACATTCAAAAGTAACATTCACATAATATTTGCAACAGGGCAAAATGGAATGTTCTTTTAACATTTGCATAACAAAAAAAAAACCTTATTAAAACATAAGAAAAACTTTATAGAAATAGTATTTTTATAACTTAATGGAAACGTTAGCGAAACATTCTTAGAAGATATTTTTGTTAGCTGAGTAGAGTGATAGACAGACAGATTCCCTGAAGAGACACGAGCAGAACCACAGAACAGCGCAGACTGAACAGAAGTGAAAGGAAGAAAAGCGAGCAGTTGAAGGGAACGGTGCAGGGCAGATGTGAGATGAGGATGTGATCTGAATGTGTTCTGCAGGGACGTGAAGCGTGACGCTGAACAAGAACACACACACACACACACACTCTCACACACACACACACACACATACACACTCTCACACACACACACACACACACACTCTCACACACACACACACACATATATATATCAGAATAACCGGCCGCGCTGGGAGCTGAAATACACACAGGATCAGAGCGAAGCAGATGCACCTGAACTCCAGCAACAAACCCCAGAGCGCTTCATTAGATGCAGAAACAGCGCTGGTGTTTGCATGAGTGAGTGGGAGGACATTAGTGCTTCTCATCTGCTTTTATTTCAGCATTCAGATTTACACTGACATCAGGTGACAGATGAACATCCTTTGACGCATATGAATTATCTTCTCCTCCCTTTTAAAGGATTATCTTCTATAGCTCTGAATGGCTATATTTAGATATGTATTACATTTAGCATTTTCCCCTGCTGTCAGAATGGGCCTGTGACCCATTGCATTAACTAACAGTGACTACCGAACCTGGAGCCGGTTAAGTGTCGTCTACACCTGTGTGTGCATGTGCTCTTCCATGCACGCCTGCTAAAGAGCCCTGTGGCTTTGGCATGGAAATCAAGACCGATTCTAACAAGAAAGGCAGAGGCTGGAAGAGCTTTAAACTCAAGCTTTTTAATGGGAATAAAGCAGAAACTGCTCTCAAAATGTCACATTTGAATATTAATACAAACAGATTCACATTTTGAAATCCAAATGAAGTATTCATAAAAATTTCAGGAATTTAGAATGCTGATTATAAATGTAATGTGACACTTTAAAATAAAGCTATTTTCATAATTGAATCCTCTATAGTGATCCTATGATGTGAAACCTTTAGTTGAAGTGTTAAAGCTGAGTGTGTGCGTTTGTGCTCCAATTAAATTTTTGTATATGAAATGTATTATCATATGAAGTAAAAACTAATATTAAACCTATTAGAATTTGGAACAATTTCATATATTAGCATGTAGAGACTATACAAATATGTCTGTATATTTATGAGCAATACATTGTTGGACATATATGTCATGTACATGTATGTGATCCATCCTATAAGTCGCCAATACATGTTGATATTATATAAGTAAAAACAAAAGATAACCATATTTAATTGAATTTTTTATTTTTTTTTAAATATGTAAAAAAATAAAAAATAAAAAATAAAGTAATTTTTTTCAAAAACAAACATTTTTTGTATATATATATATATATATATATGTTGTTTTAAAAAAACTTTTAAAAATCATTGACATATTTGCCTACATAAAATATAAAAATCATCATATAGATATTAACATATGTACATATAAACACTATGGGGATTTTAGATATGTTATAATCTTCATCTATCCACAGAATGTACGTATGTGAAAATTATATCACCTTATAGGTAATATGGGAATATCACAGTACAATATATGCCATATATTGCATTTACATGCAGTGAAAAGACAATAATCCACGCCATAATTGTCTAACAAAAACATGTTTTCTTGCTTTGTAACTAGATGAATGGAATATGTCATGTGCAGACAGCTGCGTATCGAGCAGAGCTTGTTCTGAACTGCATTAGAGCGGCACAGACAGCAGCAATATTGAGCTGAGATGCATTATGTGCTGCTGCTGTAAACAGATCCGTCTGCAAAGTAGCCCAAACTCTATTTCTCTCTCTCACACACACACACACACTCAATTTTCTGGTGCATTCTTATCTTTCGTCTTCATATCTCTGTCTTTCATTAAATCCTCCAGCGGTTTGTCTCTACAGCGGCTGCTGATTTAGTGTCAGAGCAACTATCACACGGACAGCAGAGATTTCTTAGATGAGGATGATGAAGGTCACTGACAAGTCTTGAGCTTTTATCACATTCACTGAAAGTTAGAGATGGGAACAAAATAATGGGTAGATGCTTGTTAACGGCATCCGCTGGCTTGTGTTGAGCTTTGACAGCGTTTCTGCGGCGTAACAGAAGAGCTCATAATTAAGTCATTATGGGTTCCTACACTGAGAATAAATTATAATATGCTTATCAGGAGTGTGCCACTGAAAATTATTTCAAACTGAAATCATTTACATTCTGGAGGAGCGTCACTTAAGGAATGGTTCGCCAAAAATGAAAATTTCCTGAAAATGTGCTCTTCCTCAGGTCTTCCAAGATACAGATGAGTTTGTTTCTTCATCAGGTTTGGACAAATGTAGCACTGCATCAGTGTCTCAGCAATGGATGCTCTGCAGTGAATGGGTGCCGTCAGAATGAGAGTCCAAACAGCTGATAAAAACATCACAATAATCCACAAGTAATCCACAGCACTCCAGTCCATCAGTTAACATCTGGAGAAGACAAAAACTGAAACACATCCAGCATTAAGATGTTTTTAACTAAAATATGAGTCCATAATCCATAATAACGCTGAAAAAGTGCATCTCCTGTTGTCTCTCGAATCAAAATCCAGCCACATATGTGTTTAGAGCTGTTTAAACACTGCTTGATCTGTGCAGATTTC